ATGTTTTAATTCGGTTAGAGTTTAGATTTATTGTATAACAATTAATAATAATAATAATAATAATAACTGAATGCCATCTACATTGGATAAAACATCACATAAGAAAACAGACATTTTCAAACAGAACATTTCCGTTTTTATATTACAGATGTTGAAAAAATTGTTGGTACCCTTCCATTAAAGAAAGAAAAACCCAAAATGGTCACTAGGGGTGTGTGTGTGTGTGTGTGTGTCCCTTTTTTGCAGGAGTGGAGGCAGGTGTGCAGGAGCCTGTTACCAGCTGCCAGCCATCAGCCTCATTATGCTCTGCCTCTTATACCGGGTCCTTGCCTCCCCTCAGCGCCAGATCATAGACACATGTTACCGATCTCCCCACCTGGGCCAGCTCTTGCAACTACTTCACTCCTGCTCATGCACACCCGGGAATGGGGAGTCATACCCTGCGGACTTCCCCCTTCCTGGATTATTATGCTGCCCCTGGACCACCCACTCCCTGAACCCAGCATCTCACATCCAGTATATTGTTAATAAAACCCTGTTTCGATTCACCAACTCTGAGTCTGAGTACTGCATTCAAGTTCAAAAACGATTTAGTCTAATGATTTGCTTTCTGCTTTCAACAGTAGTGTCCTCCTCGGTCGTCTTCCAGTTTGGCTCAAAGAGCAAGCGGTGCTAATTACAGGACACACCTCAGTTAAACATGTCCCTATGGTCAGATTATTTCCAGAGTTAACATCATTTTTGTCCAGGCCAGTTTCATCAGTTTTTAAAAAAAATAATTCTGTTGAACCACAATTCAAAAGCAATGTCTGATTTCAATCATATTTATGATTGAAATCAAATTATATTTTTTATATTACTTTTGTCACTTTCACATTATTTCAGGGACCATTGTGTTCTCTATTTAATGGAAGGGTACCAACAATTTTGTCCATGTTTCCCATATGTTCATTTATTTGTAGCGGCCGCCACAATATCAATGCTGACTGCCACATTCATACAACGTAGTGCAGTCTCTCAGAACATCCTCTCGCTTGTCCTTCTCTCACTCTCTCCCTCATGAACACTGCTGCACAAATCTTTCCAACACAACACTGTCAATGTCGTAGACCCAGCTTTAAAAAATTATTAGCAAGCATGTAAGCAGCCTAGCTAATAAGGACAGCTAAGTTATTGTTAGAAAACACCTGGGTTTTCGATGCTAGCACGCTGTATAGCTGGTAGTCAATATCGACTGCACGCACACCCCTCCCCATCGTGCGCCACAGTTACAGTGTCATTCTTTGGGAAACACTGGTATATAACTTGAAAAAAGATAATTGAATCATAAAAATTAAGGAATGTAGTCTACCTAACAGTTTATTACGTGATTTGGTTATAATTGAAAGATCAATTGATTTATTATTTTTCATGTTTGTTTATTTGTTGCTGTAAAAACAAGTGAGGTGAAAGCAAGATAATCTAATACTAATACTGCAGCTGGTTGGATTTTAGACGTTAAAAGGTTTCATTATTTAAAAAAATAAAATAAAAAAGGAAATCAACACTTTGGAACTGAAACCTGTGTGACGATATGCAAGAAACTTACAGCTGTAGCAAACATGAAAAGATCTGCTGGTTTATCTATCAAATAATGTATATGGAAGGGCTCTTTTGGAAGAAGAATGGAATAAGAATCCCACGAGGGGAAACTAAATGTTTTCACTCTGTTGTTAGTATTTTTAACAGGTCTGAAATGCACAAACAGGACCTACAGCAACAACACATGGAGAGATGTCAGAGCGAGTGGGCTACCACTTGGTAAGGCGGCCCCAGCGGTTGGGGGTTCAGGGGCTTGCTCAAGGCCCCGCTCGGCACGGCCCAGGAGGTGAACACCTCTCCAGCTAACAGTCCACACTCCGTTTAAATCTGACATTGGACATTTGAAACCACTGAACTATAAATGTTGTTTATTGCTCAGCTAATGTCTTCTCTGAGGAGTTGTTTTAATGAAGCTCTGTTATGGAACAAGCAAGATGCAGATTTAGTAATTTCATTTCTACATTCATATTTCCGCCTAGAAATGTTTTTTCCAATCAAACATTAGGGTTTCTCACAGTGTTTGGTATAACTGTATAGAATCATTTTCTCTGACTATTTGAAATAATGATATCAGCCATATCAGATAAATGCAGTAAAGATGAGTCCTGTAGGATTTTGCAAGTCTCTGAGTCTCAAGCACAATAATAAACAGCAGAATCTTCAGTCTTCAGACTGTTTATCTGCAGATACAGCTGCATGCAGCTGCCTCTGAAGATGGTAAACCTGCTTGGACATGCACTGTGGGACTTTAGACAGGTGTGTGACCTGAGCTCAGTTTTGAGTGTCATAGCAAAGGCTGTGCTTTAAAAAAAAACAAAAATAGATTTCTAACAAACATCAATCACGTTGTTATTATGGGGTATTGTAGAATTGAGGAAAATAATGAATTTCATCCATTTTGGAATAAGGCTTTAAGCAGGTTTTCATTCAGGGCATTGATTTTTGGAGGTCTTTGCCACTTTCTCTAGGGTGTTTAAATGTGATTAACTAACTAATTGTGACTGTGTTGCTCCCTGGGTTCATGTACTTGTTTAAAATGTAAAGTTCCAATTAAGCATTTTCTCTAAAACTATAATTCAATCATAATGTCTCCAAGACTCACTTACTAAAATGTAAAAAAGTGTGGGGATTTCACTGGGCAGCTAATGTCAGAGCCCTGATTTATTAGCAAGATCAGTTCCCTCAAACAAGGAAGCTTTCTGATACACCCAAGTGGCTGCAAATGGATTCTCAGCTGGTCACCTGCTCACTCATTCCTTCTCTTTTGACCAGGCATGTAGCACAAATTTCTGGGCTCTATATACAAGCAGTCTCTGTGGGCCCCCTTCCTCTCTTGGGCCCCATCCACACTACTGCGTTTTCGAATTAAAACGGAGACCTTTTGCTACGTTTGCACCTCCCCGTCCAGACTACAACGATGAAAACGAAGACCTAAAACCGAGAAGTTTGGAAACGCTGCTGACCCTGTTTTGCGTTTTGCAAATAATACTCATCTGCCTACACTTGTACTGTGCATGTCGCCATTTACTTTGCAACAACTCCCAGTCTGTTTTCTGACGCCACACTCCTGTGTTACATGTGTTACATATGTTTATTGATCCATGCAACAAAAAAAAAAACTGGTCTGATGCTTAGTCTGTATTTAATTATTTTTTGCCAAATCTTCTGTAACTACGGAACAGACCATCTGCTTCATGTTTACACTGGCACGCGCATGCCCAGTGCACCTGAACGGCTCCTAGCTGTGCGTTTTCAGTCGTTTTAATGTAGACGGAGATCAACTCCAAAATGCAGCGGAAACGCTGGTGTGGATGGAGATCGTATTCGTTTTAATTCTCCGTTTGTAAACTAAAACGGAGTAGTGTGGATGGGGCCTTGGTCCCTGTCTCTCACTCATCTTTTGAAAAATGTTGACAAATAATGGAAATAATGGAGCTAACAACTGTACACATGGTGTTTAGGGTAGTCACTAATGACCCATTCTTATCACAATTAAACAAGTAGTAATAATCTGTTATTTGTGCTTAAGTCTGCACAGTTTGAAATCTCACCACATTTCAACTCTTTTCTCAACAAACTGTATCCTACAACTATTTTACTATGATTAAATGAGGTTTGCTATGAGTATCAAGCCAAATTAGCATTATCGTTTATTGACGCATATATCATTCTCAAGGTATAAGGTACAACGCTGGTAAAAAAAAATCCTTCTTAGTTGTCATAGCCGGACATTGAGAAATTGCTAACTGTACAGTACTGCATAATAAAAGACAAGGGAACAAGACTGCACTAGATACCTGCCTTCAATCTAAACTGCTGATATTAGCTTAAACCATTCTTTAACTGCTAGTTGTGACTGTGATCACCTTTCTTTTGAAAGAAATAAGCTGGCAGTTATTTTCCTTCACTTTGCGTCCTTACTCTTTTCTTTCTTTTTTGGGACCTTAATTTCCCGTGCTTGGGGAAAGACTTGACAAAGCATGTTGATGCTCCAGCATCAGCGTCACTCTGCTCTGCTAAACCATTTTGCGTCTTTTAGAAATGGTAAGAGTGGCCTCCACTACTTTTAATTTTTTTTGGAGGGATATACAAAGTTCAGTCTCCCAACTGATTTATTCAGACGCTTTTTATTTAGTTTGAAACTACTTGCTTAAAAATTTAACATTGCAAACAAAAACAAAGTTTTCATTCCAGGATTTTAAAGGGACCTCCGTCCATTGGGGCCCTGTATAATCAGTCCCTCTCCTTGTATAACAGTGTAAATTTGCTGTTTCCTCAAAAAAAAATATAAAAAAATACATACAGTGTGGGGGTGAATGTAATTTAGTGTAAAAGCACTTTGAGTGTTTGAAAAGACTAGAAAGGCGCTGTACAAATACGGAGCATTTACTGGTCACTGGAAGTTCAAATCACTGTGTGATACTGTATATTGAGCTACCATGTACAACCGGAAAGTTTTATTTAGTTTCTGTATTTGCCATGTAAAGTGTCTGTGGATCTTGAAAAGCTCTCTGTAAGTAAAATATTTCTCTGTTCTTATCAATTTTATTTTTATATACTCATGTTGTTTACAAATGAATTTAATACACTATCAACTGAGAACATCCTTGTTCATTAGGCTAAAAAAATAGAACTGAAATCCAATTAACACTATCAGCATACCATGTCCACTTAAAGTAATTTGTGTTTTGATATTGTCTGTGCAGTGTGAACACATTCATCCCCGCCTGGAAAACACCTCTGCTTAATGTTGGAGTGTGTTACTAATTTCATGTTGCACCCTAAAATGACAGAAAGTGTTGACTCTTTACAGTACTGTTAACATTTATGTTTACTTTCAAACACAGTGGTAGTGGAAATTAAATATACTGATAATGTTATAATACTGAATGTACTCAGTAGTGCTAAATAGAGGAAGTAGTTTTTGTATGACTCTCCTGTTATTGTCTCTCACTGTGTCTCTCTGGCACAGTAATACACTGCTGTGTCCTCGGTCTTCAGATTGTTCATCTGTAGATAGAGCTTACTGCTGGAGTCATCTCTGGAGATGATGAATCTACCCTGGACTGACTGGGAGTAATAGATAGGAGAACTAGATGTGCTTATATAAGCGATCCAATCTAGTCCTTTTCCAGGAGCCTGTCTGATCCAGCTCATACGGTAGCTGCTGAATGTGAATCCAGAGGCTGTACAGGTCAATCTGTGGGATTCTCCAGGCCTTTTAACAACTGGTTCAGATTCTGTCAGTGTCTGACCATCAACACCTGTTAAGACAGCAAAGAAAACCATCACATGCAACAAACTGACACATTACAAGAAAACATAAGATCAGTGAAATTTTTCACCTGCCCAGCAGACAGTTAAAAGCAGCAGTCCTGTCCTATAGTCCATCATGTTAAACTGTGTGTCCACTGTTCTCTGTCATCCTCTCTGCAGTCAGATAAGTAGAGGTGGAAGACATCTGAGTTTTGCATTGACTCCTCCTCACAGGGAGGAGATGAATTTGACTTGGATCTCAGTTACTGTTTGTTGAAACTGTAGGATGAATGTTTTCTGTACATGAGTCATTCAGCCAAAAGTCCCTCTTTCGTGGTTCAGTATAATTTGTGCAATAGGTCTGCAAACACATTATGAAATTGGCTTCATTATTAAGAAGAGTCTGTTTCATGTGAAAACTTTGGCAATAGTTTATCAATTTATTACCTACATTTCACACACTTGTAGTATGCAGGTGCAACCCTCTGGACTCGCCAATCACGCACGTGTGAAGTGCTCACTTTTTTTACTTTTATGTTAGTATTTGTGTTTGACATTTGTTTTAGCACTATTCTTTGTTGTTTCTTTGTGTACTGCTGCTGTGACATGTTAATGTCCCCCCAGGAACAAATAAAGTATCTATCTATTCTATCTGTCTGTCATTGCCTTAATCACAACTCTTATTAGGGTTAGGGTTAAACACATTCATCACACTACTACAGATCATTTTTCTTAACAAGAAATAAAACATTTTTATATTTAAGATAAAAATAAGACCTCAATATTCAGTCACTCACTATTAAAATTTCCAATACTGACAGTTACAGAAAGGAAAAACTAAAAAGGGATACTGAAACAATTGAATGTTGCCAGAAGAAGTAGTTTTTGTATGACTCTCCTGTAATTGTCTCTCACTGTGGATCTCTGGCACAGTAATACACAGCAGTGTTTTCAGGCTGCACATTCTGTCCATTTAGAGTCACTGTTTTGGTGGAAGAGTCTAAGTCGATACTGAACTTGTTCTTTAGTGAATCTTTGTAGAATGAATATCCAGTAGATCTTATTCCAATCCACTCCAGTCCTTTCCCTGCAGGCTGTCTGAAAAATCCCTCAGTGTTCAGGCACTGAGGGGTTTTTGTTCAGGTCTACTGATGGTTTGTGTTATTATTGCTCTCTGGCACAGAAATACACAGTGGGGGATTTTGTTTTTATATACCACAGTGCATGCCTTGTCTGGGTGGTCACCTAGAGCCAACATACCCAAAACTAAAAGTGAAAAACCGAGCAGATAGTACAACAACAACTGTGAATGTGGATACCTGCCCCGTGTTACCCCACCCGTCACTATTGCTGCCGTCAAAACGGTTACTCATTCTATGACCACACTGAAGAAAGTTCAGTAAATGCAAATAAATATTAATATTAATATACTATTAATAATATCAAATAGTAATACTAGACATCTTAAAGATAATGTGTACCAAAACTCTCCATCCTATCTTTATGTTAACATACTTTACTAACCTTTTGTTTGGGAGGTTTGATGCAGCCATCCTTTTCTCATGGTGCAACCAGGAATTAAGCAGCTCTGGTCATGTGACAGTTTAGACTAAACATGTGATACTGCACATGTTTCATTGAGACCCTCTATTATTTCAGTATTTGCTTAAAATGTATTGATAACATTTTTAGAGCCTTATAAATGAAAAAGTTTTTTATGGTCACTATTGTGACCGATGGGATTAAAAATAACACAAATCATGGATAATGTAAAACCTATTCATTAAAATCATCAAACAAAAGGAAAAGCAAAGAAAAGAGCAAACACCAAGGACTGTATCGTCCATCGCTTTGCACATAAACAAAACAAATGTCTTTTTCATCAACATACAAGAACACAACAATTAAAAATATATCATGTATGTATACATATATAATATGTAAAATATATTTTGAAAGTAAACTATTTCCTGGAAGTTACTGTGCATGTCTTGTTAACATGTGTAGGACGTTGTCTCTCACAGGTTGCTGAATATTTGTGCAGGTCTGTTGGTGGTTTGTATCACTGTGAGGTAATGTGCAAAGTCATACACAGCTGTGTCCTCAGGCTGCAAATTATTTGCTTTTATTGTGTTCTACTGTTCCAGCAGAAGTGTCTCTGCTCCTCCCCACTGATGGAATATGTTGCATAGCTGTCAGCAGTCAAAGAATAACCAGAGACCTAACAGGTGATGGACAAAGACTGTCTAGGCTGCACAACCATTGTGTCTGGCTGGATGAGATCAATACTGTTCACACCTGTGGAAACAGAAATCAACATTATCTCCATCATTCATCTGACTATTCAGTGTTTCTAATGTGTTTATTAGTGTGAATCCACAGAAAGCTCCTCACAGGATCCAGCTGCCAGCAGCAGTATCAGAGCTGCAGAGAACATGTTGATGTTGTGATGGGTCGCAAATTATTTTAGAACATTACAGCCTAAATTGTTGTCATTAATTGCATTGCCATCATTTCATTAAGTGCAGTGTTCATCATTTAAAGTATTATTTTAAAGTGTAAAGTCAGGATCACAGTGTTAAAACTCTATAGCTCTTGTCATCACTTAGTGTTATTTTACAGTGTAAAGTTAAGATCACAACGCTGAAACTCTATAGCTCTGAGTGTGTGTGGTCCTCTCTGTGTCTAACTGCCCGGAGGCAGTAGCAAGTGTGTGTGTAAGCAGGCACGTGTGCTCTGGGAGCAAAGTGAATGAGCACAGCAAGACATCATCAAAAATACCAGCAAAGTTAAAGCAGAATTAGTGAAAATGTGTTGCAAAGTATACATAAACATTGTCTATCACAGTAGGGATGTCTTGTCTTTAGCACACAGCACAAAAGACACCAGCTTATTCCACAAAGTGAGGTTTTTGGTGAAAGTAGCATGATCAGCAAAGGGCAAATCATTTTTGATCATTTTAGTATCCTTAATTAGAAGTAATCATTAATCATTCCTAATTCATCATCTTTAATCAATCATTTTATTATCTTTAATCAATATTAATAAGTAATCATTCTTAGTTCATCATTTATAATCATTTTAATATCCTTAATTAGCATTAATCATTAGTAGGTAGTTTATTAATTATCCTTACTTACTTCTTACTTACTTCTTAATCTTTGAACATTACACATCATGAGATGTGTCTTATTTTCTACTTAGAAGTGCTGTGCTGTAATCATGAATGCAGTAACTAGCTCATTGTGGTAAGATCCCTGAGTGGGGGCATTGACTGCAGACACTGAGACTATGCATACCTTGCTCAACTGTTATCTACTGTTATGAGCAGGAGAGGCTACAGGTGTCCAAAATCTGCTGTGACAAGTGCATGCTTTGGTCTACTGATATCCACTGTTGTTATAACATGATGAACTGCCAAGGTGTCAGTCTGCTGATATTAAGACTACATGTTTAATGATTGCTTAAAGGGGTTGATTGACAGCTTCCAACCTCTGATTCATAGAGCCTGTGTGAACTTCAAGTGAACTTGCCCATGGGCATTTGGTGAACTTGCTGACAAAGCAATTGCTGGCTCTGCTCGGCAGAGTGGGTGAGCTTCAAAGGCAGAAAGTGGATGGATAGATGAAGACAAGAAGTAATAAACAGCCAGTATAACAACAACATGTGTTATTCCTGTAGTAATTTTTTAAGAAATATAACTGTGCGTCAAATTATATACGCATAACTGATGAAAAAGGGTGACATTTGAGTTACAATGTAAATGATAAGTTTCTTATCCTGTAATATAACAAAATATAGAAATATAAATATAGAAAGTCAACAACACAGAATGATGAATGAAAGCTGGAAAACTTGTAAAAGTGGTATAACAACCTGTGTGAACAGCATAAAAACAGAAGATAGATAGAGATTCAGCATAAAGAAAGAAGGGGGGCACACCAGCCCAGAAGGGGTATATAAGGCTGTCTGCAGACCATAGGGTTGACCTCATCGTCCAGCCTGCTGGGATGTTGTATGGGTTTATGTGTCCTGTTTTGGAATAAACTCTTTTTGTACCGACTCTTGACCGTCTCCAGAGAAGTTTTTGTCTGCAAACTTATGGCTATTGTGGGAAGCTAATAGAGTATTTTTGACAAAGTTTATAAAGTTGGTGAAGTTTGGGACCAGGCTCAACTGGCCCAGCCTGGTCACACATCTGACGCAACAGTTGAAGCTGAACTGATGTGAGCTCTTCTGTCCTCTCACTGACACACACACACTTCACTTCCTTATGAGTAACTTTTATTTGCATACAGTTGAATAATCTTTTATCATTATTTATTTAATCATTATTGAATAATCATTATTAATGAATGTGCTAAAATGGTCTTAGATCTCACCACATAGATGGTTCATTTAGAAACCGTATAACATGCCATGATTGGATTTACTCAAACAAAACCCTCATAAAGTACGTTTATTTAGAAAAGTGGAAAAATGTATACTACAGATCTTTTTCAGCAGATCAGCAGATATGAGATTATGTTTGAATAAAGTGACAGAGTAAGAAACTTAACACTGACTGCCCTCTAGTGTTTTTACATCGGGTACTGTAACATTTTCACTCCCACAATGTGACTGTCTGTAGAGGTCAAATCATTTAAACATGAATGTGACTGGAATGTGAAAATGTACTGTGTATTTTATTTATATGGATAATATATTATAATGATTTCAGATTGTTTTGTCATTGGGAGTTTTATAAGGAAGTGGTCTTTACAATAAGACATTTTAATTGTGTTTTTTTTTTTAGGATTTCCTTAAAACAACAACAAAAATTAAAACAGAAGTTTAAATTAAAACAGAAGTCTTTCTCAGGATCTATCAGCACAGTAAAGATGAGTACTGTAGGTTTTTGTACAGCTGCTCAACCAACTCCAGTCACTGTGAGGCTCTCGAGCACAATAATAAACAGCAGAATCTTCAGTCTTCAAACTGTTCATCTGCAGATACACCTGCTGTCTGCTGTTGCCTCTGGAGATGGTAAACCTCCCTTGGACTGACTGAGAGTAGTAGATGCTAGTAACATCGATAGTGGCAACCCACTCCAGTCCTTTTCCAGGAGCCTGTCTGACCCAGGCCATCAAGTAGCTGCTGAATGTGAATCCAGAGCCTGTACAAGTCAATCTGTGAGATTCTCCAGGCCTTTTAATCACTGGTTCAGATTCTGTCAGAGTCTGACCATCAACACCTGTCAGGACATTTTAAAAATCACATTGATTAAATTGGTTCAGGAA